CAAGAAGGTTATACACTACGACCAAGTTGGATTCATCCCAGGAATGCAGGCGTAGTTTACCACACAGAAATCAATAAATGTAATACACTATATTAACAGAACCATACACAGTGAGACCCTATCTCAAAAAACCAACCCCCCCCAAAAAAACCCACAAAAAACAAAACAAAAACAAAAAACCCCAGAACCAAGGACAAAAGCTGTATGATTCTCTCAATAGATGCAGAAAATGCATTTGACAAGGTCCAACATGCATTCACAATAAAAGCCCTACAAAAAGTTGTGATAGATGGTCTTAATCTCAATCCAAGCCACTTATGACAAGCCAACAGAAAACATCCTATTAAATGGACAAAAACTGAAATCTTACATGCTAAAATCAGGAACAAGACAAGGATGTCCACTGTCACCATACTTATTCAATAAAGTCTGGAAACATTAGCCAGAACAATTAGAAAAGAGAAAGAAATAAAGGAATGAGGATAGGAAAGAAAGAAGTCAAATTATTATTTTCAGATGACATGATACTCTACATAGAAGACTCCAAAAACTCTAGCAAAAGAGTGAATTTGTTAACCAAATTCAGTGGTATACCTGGATACAAAGTCAACACTCAAAATTCAATAGCTTTCCGGGACACATATAACAGACTCATGGAGAGAGAAATTAGACAGTCACTTTCACAATAGCATAAAAAAAATCTAGGAATCAATCTAACAAAGGAAGTAAAAGATCTCTACACTGAAAACTACAGTACTCTGAAAAATGAGATTGAGAGAATTTCAGAAAATGGAAAGATATCCCTTGTTCTTGGATAGGAAGAACCAATATGGTGAAAATGGCCATACTTCCAAAATTGTTATACAGACTCAATGCAATCCCAATCAAAATCCCGACATGTTATCTCACCCAGTTAGAAAAAACAATCCTAAAATTCAAATGGAATCAGAAGAGACCTAAAATATCAAAGGCAATTCTGAGCTACAAAGGCAAAGCAGGGGGTATCACAATCCCTGACTTTAAACCATACTCCAAATCTATGGTAATAAAAAAAAGGATGGCACTGGCAAAGAACAGACTAGAGGATGCAGAAACAACTCCAGACATATTCAACCACCTTACCTTTGACAAAGAAGCCTAACACCTTCTCTGGAAGAAAGACAGCCCATATATATAGGATTTCTATGTATTAAGATGTGGGCTGGGGATTTAGCTCAGTGGCACCGTGCCTGCCTTGCAAGCCAGGGTCTGGAGTTCAATACCTGATACCACACACACAAAAAAATTAAGATGTGTTGTGTGTGCGTCTGTGTATATGTATACACACACCCACGCACACACAAAAGACCCTGAAATGAAAGTAATCCTGCATTGCAAACATACATACTCATAGTTTTTAAAAACTTAAGCAAAACAAAATACCACAAACAAGCAGCTTAGCCCAAAATGACTTTCATAAATATTTACACAAGTATGAGTTTATATTACACATACAGTTGGCCCTCTATATTCATGTATGTATTCCACATCCACAGATTCAATCCATCTCAAAACAAAAATATTCAGGAAAAAGCGCACCTATAACAACACATAGACTTTTGTTGTCATTATTCCACAAACAATACATAGAACTACTTACACTGCATCATAAGTAATGCAAATTAAAGTAAATAGGCTCTGGGCATGGTGGTACATGCCTGTAATCTCAGCACTCAGTAGGCTGAGGCAGGAGGATCATCACGAGTTCAAGACCAGCCTGGGCCACTTAGTAAGACCCTGTCTCAAAAAACCAAAACTTTGCCCTAGTACCTGTCATGGGGAAGAGGGGGGAGGAGAGAAGGGAGGAAAAGGGAGGAGGGTCCACGTTGACTGCTTCATGACTCACCATCCTTTCCAGCCAAAATAATTTGCTTAGTACTTGTCACATCTCCCAGAACCAATTAACCAAAAGCCCAAACCTCACTGTAGCTCCATTCCTTTTTTTCTATTCCTGTTTGGTAATGAGTAGTCACAGAACAATAACAATACACAGACAGGGCCAGTCAGACCCTAGAAGGAAAATGTCTTTTTTTTTTTTTGGAGGGAGTTTGAACCCATTATGTAGCCCAAGGTAGCCCTCAAACTCACAGAGATCTTCCTGCCTCAGCCTTCCTAGTGCTGGGATTGCAACAGTGTGCCACCACACCCAGCTTCTCCCTCCTTTTCAGTCCATAAAAACTGGGCTGGTAGAGGTTACTTTTGGAAAAAGTTAACCTGAGAATGATACTACACTTGATCTTAGCCAAAAGGCCTAGAAGTAATAACCTGAGAATGAAATCAGAACCAAGGAAGACAGAATTGTAAGTAGAGATCCACATAAGGATGCATAAAGTTTCCCCTCACCTTTAGACTCTAGTTCCTATAGCTTCACAAGTTTGTTTCTACAACTGAAAGGATTCTGTGTAATACAATGGAGTATAATACAACCATCAAGAGAATGAGGTGGATCTATATGCACATACATACAATTTCACAACATGTTAAGGGAAATAGCAATTTTCAGAGCATTACACCATGTTTTTGTTCCTTTAAAATAATTTTTTATTAATAATGAGAATTTGGGGGGGAAATCTTCATTTTTACAGCATTGACTTTTAATTTTTTTCACTTTTAAAATTTTTATAGGATGAAAATGATCACAGTTATCTCATGTGCATATATGAATCTGCCAAAATTAACCCCATTAATCTGTATAACCAATAAAAATTTACATGCACACATTTTTTAAATCACAGAATAAAGTGCTATACAATTAAATGCTATGCATAACATTTGCATCAATGCCTAATCAAATTCATTCCAACTTAATTTCCATACAAACTTGTAGAATAGTTTCCCTAGAAAGAAATAGAAATAATAAGAGTAAATTATGGTGAAACATAAGTGGAATCATACCTAAGTGTTTATTGGTGTTTATTATATAATTTCCTTTAATCTCCCCCTAAAGAGCCGAATAAAAAAGTAGATATTTCACCATCCTCCTATTCCAGAAAATTGGAGTCCACTTATGCTCCTAAAAATATGGTAAATATTTAAATTTTTAAATTTAATCACAGTGAAAGACACATTGCCATTAATCTCCCTCAGAATACTTGCCCTTGATTCAAACACACTTGAGGGCCTAGTTGATTGCCATTGATGCCTCTATGTTCTGAATCAATTAAAAGAATTTTGGTCATTTTGACTTAGGGGAAGAGCAAAAAGCTGCACAGTGCCAGATCCAGAAGATGAGGACACAGTGTAAGTTTTTATGAGTCTGCCTTTACATTGAACGGCATGTAGAAGCAACATTCACTATATTTATCACACCTCCTAAAGACACAAGAAGAGTTTCAAACCTGCTTCAGAAAGTGGCAAGAATGATGGGAAAAGGTATTTTGTGGGGAATTAATGGCAATGTCTTTTACTGTAATAACTTTTTTTTTTTTTGGTACCAGGGATCGAACTCAGGTTCTTGAGCTTGTGAGGCAGGTGGTGGAACCACTGAGCTAAATCCCCAGCCCTGTAATAACTTTTTAAAATTTAAATATTCACACATGTTCTTATCTCAACTCACAAATACTTGAGACTGTTTGATCTTTCGGCAGTTTTTGAAAAAACATTCACATTTATATCTAAGGTGCAATAATAGAACAAAAAACTGAAAAAGAGAAATACTTCTAAAGAAGCTCAAAATAAAGCACTCAAATCAAGGTACAAATTTTGTTACCAGCATACATTCAAGGTCACACTATGAGTGGACCAAAAGATAGAACACTTGGCAACTCAACATAAAGGACTATATCTATTTCATCTCATATGTCAAACTCATACCTCCTACACTAAGGCATCTGAGCTGCTTAACTAACTATTCATTATGGCAAAACATGCTCTAACTCAAAGAGCATATCAGGAGCAGTTGTTAACTGATTACATGAATAAAAATTGATATAAATTTAGACTTAAACCAAAAGAGAAGTAAAATGAAATCTGAAAAACTAACATTCTTCAAAGGAACACGGAGGTATTAACTGTATTTACCTAGCCAAATAATCTCTTGACACTCAAGCAAGTTATGAAAGAATATACAAAATATAAATTCCAAGATATAAGTGGAAATTCAACTGGAAAAACAATTTGATTTTTAAAAGTTGAATAAATGCTTTTCAAATCAGTATCTGGCTGAAGCTGCTGCAGAATTTATCAATTTTACTTTTTAAACCTTTTTTTTTTGCAATGGCTTAAAAAAGTAAACGAGGGTCGGGGGGATTTGCTCAGTGGTTCCGCCGCCTGCCTTGCAAGCTCAAGGGCCAGATTTCGATCCCCGGGACCAAAAAAATAAATAATTTTAAAATAGGGCCTGGGGATTTAGCTCAGAGGCTCTGCTGCCTGCCTTGTAAGTGCAAGGACCCGAGTTCAATCCCCAGTACCAAAAAAAAATGTTGCCATAAAAGATAAACAAAAAAGAAAATGTGAAATAACTTTCAATGGTTAAAAAATAAATCTAACAACATCTGAAAATTAATTATGATCTATTCAAATTTAAGAAACAAAAAGCAATATTCAAGGGGAAAACAGGTAACATTTTTTCTCAAACACTAAGAAGATACCAAACCATTATGTCAGATATATATATATATATGCACTACATTGGCACTCTGGCCCACAATGGGTTTGGAAATGTACAACAAGATTCAATTTTATTACTTCATTACTGTAATTTTAATTTATATATATATTTAATATATTAATTTATATGTCACATAGCTTTTTAAAATGTTTAAAAGCTAAGGTTCATAGTATTAGATACCAAGAATTTATAGCTCATATAGACTACATAATCATTTTGACTCTGTAATACGTGTATGACCAGAATACTGTTACACAAGAAAAATACTTTTTAATCATTCATATTCAACAGTAGAAACGTTCTATGTACACAGACTCCAAACAACACATTTTATTTGTTTCAAACTTGCCATGCTATCTATTGCTGTTTTGATGACATAAAAATGTATCCCACTTAGATTCTCAATGATGAGTCTGATTAGGTGGATAACTTCCTAATCATAAAACTTTTCTTTAAGACAATTATGCAAATATAGTATGAAAATCAGACTGACATAATTGGGCTAAAAAGACCAATTCCAGAAGAACACTGCTCGTGAGGCACCTACTGCAATGTTATCCACTTCTCTTACATTTGCTGCTTTCCTTCTTTCTCTTTGAAGTGCAAGACTAAAGTGTATTTACACTAAAAGTTACTAACAAGCTTAATATGAGAGAAGTATATATTCAAGAAAGCAAGATAGTCTAGATGTGAAATCTCCAATTATTTTCTATTTTACATATTTTTATGACCTTTTCTATAAAGGACTGCTTTATGTGCAATACTTGCAGGTAGAAATAAATTTACATTTCACTCAAGCCCAACCAAATATATCAAATACAAACATGAAGCAAACTACACGAGCAGCAGTGATTCTTAGGGCAGCATGAGCAAAACCCAACATCTTGTTAGCTATTTATATCACCGTGTCAGAAAAGAAATGTGCCAAAACTCCCTTTCCCATTCCACTTAAACTGGTTCCCCACAATTACAACAAACATTTCCTGTGACATTAAGTTGTCATCTGCTTGTGTGATCCCCAGTTCACTCAACCTTTTCTTCCTCATCTGGCCTTTCTGGGTGGAGGCAGCAACTAGTTCATTTATAATTTCACAATTTCCCTCAATTTGCTCAGAAAGGTCAGCAGCCCTTTCATAAATCTCCATCTTGTCAGTTGCACCGTGAATCAGCTCCTCTAGATCCACTCTTCCAGCTGCATCTCCTTGTCCACTTGTTTGAACCTTAACTGCTTTATTTTCTGGAGAAGCAAATGGTAATGAATATGTTTAAATACACAGGCTAACCAAATGAAAACATATTTCTACAGGCTATTTGAGTTTGCAAGTTTTTCTGTCATGGATTCCTACTCAATTTGACTAAATTTCTTGCCATAGGGTCCCAACAATCTTCATGTTTAGAACTCTGCTTGCCTTCTTCATCTTAGAATCTCATTCAATCAACAGATATTTCCTGAGTATTATCTGCTAAACTCTGCATTAGGGGCCCTAAGATTCCCTATCTCTTGGCAGTACTTTCACAATTGTTAAATGGTAAAAGCATTCTAGTTTTGCAATGATTATTAATAAGTTTCCTCCAACTTACTGAAGAGGAGGAGATCACAGAGATTCACCATGAGGGAGATTATTGCTGGGACCGGCCCATGGGACACAGGGCTGAACATGATCCCCCAGCCAAAAAGAAAATGGAAACCTCAGGCCTACAACCTAAAGGCATGGCTTTGGCAGTGAATGAATGTGAAAGGAGATTCTTCTACCTGAGATTTCAGATAAGAGTCCTGCCTACTGACATCTTAATTCCACATTTTGAGACCTATGAGGAGATAAAACTTCTACAGATATTGTAATAGACACTGAAAGATGACAAGAACTAATCTTTAAACTGCTTTAAACTTTCTACACCCACATCAAGGGTCATGCTTAGTTTAGTAATGATCTTCATCAAGGTTTGAAATTCAATAATATCTACCGAACTAGCTCACCTTTGCAACCAAGAAAGGCAGGTGACAGAGAGGCACAACTCCCAGTGAGAACAGGGGCAAACTCCAGTATCCCCTTCTGTAAATACAGCCTGTAACCTGGCTAATTCATTTCACTGCCTCTATCTGTAACAAACATCAGCAAGAGCCACCACTGTGATCCCCTAGCCTTACTCTATACACTTATAGAAAGCCAAGCACAGAAAGAAAGGAACTGCAGGTCCACAAACCACATCAAGGTTCTGAATGAACAGTTGAACTTGGTGACCTTGAAAATGTCTTTCATTCTAAGAGTCTACAACACTATGCCTTCACTATGCTTATTTCTATGGCCAAGCACGTTCCAGGAATATTTTTAAAGAAAGACTCAGGTCCTAATCAGAATTTAGTGTTGAAATAAAGTAAATCAAGTCAGATTTTTATATTTTAAAAAATACTAAATATAGCATACCTTCAGTTTTATCTTGGTCATTTTCTTTCAGGTCAGAGAAAATTGTAGGTTTCACCAAAACAATACCATAGCCTTCATTATTATGTATGACATTATTTACCATGGATATTTTGGGAATATCATAATGCTCATCTAAGAAATCCTGTGATGTTAAAAACAAATGTCTTAAGGAAATGTCACATTCAACACTGTCTGCTTTTAAAAACAATCACCTTTTACACTATTCTGACAATAAAGTAACAAAGCTATGCTTATTAATATGTTGTAGCTGAGTGCTCAATGACACACTACTCATCATTTCTGCACATCTAAAGGCAGTGATACATTCTCATAAGAGACTTTCAATCACCAATTACTGATATTATTAAAACCTATACTATTCTTTATTCTTTTCAAAACTAGAAAATAGATTCCCAACATAGGAATTTAATAAAACATCATTTCTTACTTAAAAACATTCTAATTTTTGGTGTTAAAGTGTTTGTTTGTGACAGGGTCTTGCTATGTAGTTTAGGTTGCCCTTGAACTCACTATGTAGCCTAGTCTGGCCTGGAACTCCTGATGATCCTCCTGCCACAGCCTCCAGAGTACTGGAATTATAGGCGTGCACCATTCTAATCTTTTGAAAGAATGTGTTTCAAACAATGCTTACCTTAATGAGGATCCCCTCCTTGCAATGGTGGATCCCATTGTCACTCAGGACACACTTGCTCCCAGGATATATTTCTAAACCAGCCCCCTATAAATGAACAATTTGAGGTACTTACAACCAGTTTTTAAAAGGCAGGACTACAAAAAGTTTATCACAATCTGTTCTTAATCTTTAACACAGTATAAATGTAAAGTACAAAGATAAAGTGTTTTAAAGATCACTTTTATCAGTTGGTTGTAATCAACATTTCCATTTAAGTCATTTCCAACAAGTTGTTGATCACTTATCACTTTCAAAAAGCACACACATACACACTCACATACATATATATATACATTCATACACAAAAAGTGACTAAGAGTGTCACACGATTCTTATTCCACTTTCATTCTAGATAAATTTGTTTTCAAAAAAAATCATTTAACAATTTTGTTGGAAGATGTACTTATTCAAAATGACCATTTCCCCACAGATAATCAATTAGCTGGAAAACAGGAGGAGTCTACTAATTTATTTTAATTTGAAGACAGAAGCAAGACCCTGTGCTTAAAAAAATAAAGCCAGTTTATAATATCTAACTTCCATGAGTTAAAAAACATGTGCCTGCTCTACTATTACTACTATAACATATTAAAACTAGCAGCTAATTCGTGTTATTTATACAGAGTAATGAAAATACCCACAGATGATTCAATTCTCTCATACTGTCTAATGGTACCAACAAAAAAGTAACAATAACGGAAAATTTATTTCCAAATGCTATGCCAGACACTTTGAAAAACAAAAATGATTCATTCAAATATCTAGTTATTTAAGAAACCTCTTGGGAATAATTCAATTCATGATATAGATGAAGAAGAGTTGTTATTGCCACGTATGACACACCTACTACATGTATCTTGGGTTCTTTTACAAGTAGAAATATATCATCAGAAAACATTATTATTTATTATTTCCATCTTTACATATGAATGGACCACATGTAAAAATACTAAGCTAATATAATTATAAAAAGGTTTTTAAAAACCTCCTAACACTAAAATCACTTAAATTTCTCAGAACATATCCCTATCATTTTTTGACCCATGACTGTACCAGTACAGAAAACTTTTAGACACTAACAGCTCCATTCTAGCCAAATACCACAGGGAGAAAAACAAACACCAGTGCTCCCAACTCAGGCCAGCAATGGTCAAGAGAAAAAGCCTAGACTTCTACTTTCTCAAGATTGGACTCAGGTGACTGAACAGCATCAGAGAAGTTCAAGCAGGAACCCAAAATCCTACAGGGCAGTAACAAAGTCCAGCAATGTCAGCAGAGACATTAAGAGGAGCTTAGAATTGTGCTCCCACCTGGCAGTAATGAGGATCCACCCCTACACACCCAGGTGGAATCAGAGTTGAACTAGTGGAGCGTGAACATGCACCACTGCCCAGTGGCAACAAGATCACCTTCATGTTTAAAAGTGTCAATGGAGACCACAAAGGAAGCTGGAGCTCCCACCTCAATCCAGAAGTAACAAAGAGCTACTACATCCTTTGTAGGTATCAATAGAGCCACCATTTGGGCACATGACTTATAACAAGGTGGCACTGACCCCTCACTCTACCTTCCTGCAGTGTGTCAGAGAAGTTTAATTAAAACAGAAGACTCAGGCTCTCATAATGTAACACAAAAGTGTCTCAATTTAAAAAAGAAATCACTTGTCATATCAAGAATGAGGAAGACAGTAAACTAAACAACAAAACCAATAGATGCTAAAATCAATATATCTAAGACATTAGAATTAGCTGATAACGTGCTTGCTTCAGCAGCACATATACTAAAATTGGAACAATACAGAGAAGACTAACACGGCTGCTGCACAAGGATGACACGAAAATTCATGAAGTATTCCATATTTTTGGGGAATGAAGTTATGTTGGCTCTCAACACACACAACACACACACACACACACACACACACACAATTACCTGACAGTGATTCCAAAGCAACCATGATAAAAATGCTTCAATAAGCAATTATAAACATATGCAAAACAAATGAAAATGAAAGAAATAGAAGACATACAGAACCAAAATCAAAAATTAGAACCAGGAGTGTTTTTGAAGATTTTGGGGGATTTTCTGTATAATCATGATATCTGTAAGAGGGACAGATTTTTTTTTTCCTGACTTTTTGGTCTATATATCTTTTGTTTCCTTTTCTTGGCTTATTGCACTGGCTAGAACTTTTGCACTATGTCAAAAATGGTGGTGAGAGCAGACATCCTTACCT